CGACAGCCCTAGGGAGCGCGCGTGGTCGCTGGCGGCCCTGTCGCACGGGCCTGGGGAGCCCCTAGACTGCCCCTTGCGAAGACGCAGTGTGCGAACTCTCGGAGACAGAGGAGGGCGCCGTTTGTGTGGCTCGCTCTGCGACGTGCGGGCACCGGCCAGGAGGGGGCGGGCAGTCCGTGCCGGAGGAGGCGACTCGCCCGGTTGAGACGAGCCCCGGCCTCTAGGAGGCGCTCGGCAGTGTTTGCTGCGCTGGCCGCAGGGACGTCGGGCTGCGCGGCACTTTTCCGGGCGGCGCTGTGCAGTTGGGGTGCTGCCTTTCTCCTAACTAGCGCGCGGTCCGCACGTGAGGGTCGGGCCCTCGGACCCGTCTAAACCCTGTCACCCGGAGGCCCGTCACACTGTCCGGGCACAAACATTCAGACCAGGAACTGCTTTTTCCAGAATTTCCGTGTCGCGCCGGGTTAGGCCGCTGGTACAAACTCCAAAGTTCTGGGGAGGTGGGCGCCGCAGAAATGGGGTGGACGCGAAATCCCCGGCTGTTCTCTAGCGCGCTGCTGAGGCCCGCGAGGCCCGCCTCCAGGGTTGAGAATGGCAGCGGCTGCCGCCCNCGGGCCCTCGGCGCCATTCCGCGCTTTCCTCCCGGTTCAGTGGCTGCGCCACCCCCGGTGACGCGCTGCCTTCCGGGCGGGCCCTCCCCCGGACTCGCTCCGAGCGTGGGAAGGGTGACAGGTTACACTGTTTCCAATTACTTCCTCCCCTGGTGGCGAGCGTGGCCACGTGACTTCCAGGCTCTGCTATAAAGTAACCGCAGGCAGAAGCCTGAAAGCAGCTGGGCTCGCCCTCCCCTCGACTGCCCGCGAGCGGCTCGTGCACGACCAGGGCTGCTCTTCCACCCTGGATCCCGGAGTGGGATACAGCCGCGTAGGTAAGCAGTGTCCCAGGAGCATTTGCGAATACACAGCCGGCCTAGTCACCCATGAAAATGGAGGGGGCCTTGCATACTGGGTGGGGATGGGGGGCCCTTTTAAAAAAAAAAAAGTCTTTATTGATTTCAGAGAGGAAGGGAGGCGGGAGAGAGAGAAACATCAATGATGAGTCAGTGACTGGCTGCCTCCTGCACGCCCCCCACTGGGGACAGAGCCTGCAACCTGAGCCTGTGCCTTGACTGGGAATCGAACTACCATCTCCTGGATCCTAGGTTGATGCTCAACCACTGAGCCATGCTGGAGCTGGGGCGCCCTTTTGATTGCAGAAATTAAGCCAGCACAAGTAAAGTTTGTTATTAAACTACAACAAGCAACTTTGCTTCCACCTCTTCCAACATGTCATGCCTTTTTCTTTTTTTTTTTTATCACGATGCCTTTAACTGCACCGCCCAGAATATCAGTCTAACTGTGGTATTTAATTATCTCCCTTAACAAAAAGTCCAGATGAGTCAGCCAAGAGCTGCTGCTGCTCAGTGATGGCAAATGTTGTCAAATGATGTCAGCACCTTAGCAGTTCTTAGCTTTTCCTTCCTGGTCTCTTTGCAGCATCTCCAGGCCACCAGTCCTGACCTCGTGGCCCTAAAATGGGCAATACGAGCCCTTGCACCTGCATACTCAGTTTCCTTTGTGCCCTGCCACCCTGACTGGTCTCAGCCTGACCTAGAACAGTCTTCCCAGAGCAGTCCAAGTAGGGTCTCTTCACGCTACAATGCTCTTTGAGCCCTGGCTTGTGTTGCTCAATTGGTTGAGCGCCATCCCATGCACTGGTTGCAGGCTCAAACCCCAGTAGGGGATGTGCAGGAGGCAATTGATCCATGTTTCTCATTGATGTTTCCTTCTCTCCCTTTCCCATTTTTCCCTCTCTAAAATCAATAAAAACATAAAACCAAAAAACTCTTTGAGTCAGCAATATTCCTAAGCATTTATGCCAAAGAACTAATAAGACAATGTGGTAGATTGAGATAGCCACGGCACTTGCTACCCCTGCCATTGAGAGGCGGGGTCTAATTTTCCCTCCCCTTATATGTGGGATGGCCCCAAAGACTTGCTTGAGCAATAGAATATTGTGAGGTAATCTCTTGGGACAACCAAGGTGAGGTCACAAGGGTCCTGTAGCTTTTACTAGGGCCTCCCAGAACTTTTTGGAAGCCCCCACCGGCCACCTGGGACCCCTGGCCTAGAGAGGCCACATGTAGGCGCTCTGACCCACGGTGCAAACTGAATGCAGCCTTCTAGCCACCAAGTCATCTCTATGGTATCACAGACGAATCATCCAGCAGAGCCCTGCTGGAATGCTTGACTTACAAACATTGTGGGCTAAAATAAAATGGTGTTTTTAAAACACTATTCAGGTAATCTATTATGTGCAATAGGTAACTGTGACAAATACAGCTATATGAATATTGTACATCTGCAAGGAACTTTAGTTAAAGGGTGGTACACCACAATGAAATAGATCTGGTAAACAGGATGATGCAGAATTGAGCAAAATGTGGCCAGAATTCATGAAGCATATTAAGTAAAAAATGTACATAGTGGAAAAGTGGGTAGTATTACTCATCTAGAAGAAAACAAATAGCCCGGTTGAAAAATGCGCGAACGATCTGAACACATACCTCACCAGGGAACAAATACAGATGGCAAATACGCATGTGGAAAGGTGCTCAACATCACGTGGTTAGGGAATTGGAAATAAAAGGTACCTCTACACATCTATTAGAATGGCCACAGTCCGGAACACCGACAGCACCAAATGCTGGTGAGGATGTGGAGCAGCAGGAACTTGCATTCATTGTTGGTGGGAATGCAAAATTGGGCAGCCACTTTGGAAGTTATAAAATTATATGTAATCTTAAAGTATTTTCCAGCATCACACTTCTTGGTATTTACCCAAAGGAATTGAAATGATGTCTAAACAAAAACCTGTAGCCCTGGCTGGTGTGGCTCAGTTGGTTGGAGCACTGTGACGTACACCAAAAGGTGACAAGTTCAATTCCTTTTCAGGGTGCGTGCAGGAGGCAACCGATTGATGTTTCTCTCTCCCTTCCTCTAAAAAGTCAATTAAGAAATATTATAAACCTGTACATGCATGAGTAAAGCAGCTTCATTCATAACTGACAAAACCTGGAAGCAAACTAGATGTTCTTCAGTAGGTGAATGAATAAACTGTGGTACATACAGAAAATGAAATATTTGACCATTAGGAAGAAAGAAGTTATAAAGCCAGGAAAGAGCATGGAGGAAACTTATGTACATATTACTAAGGGAAAGAAACTCTGAAAGGTTACATACTGAATAATTCCAACTATATGACATTCTGGAAAAGGCAAAACTATAGAGACAGTGTTTGCTATGGGTTGTGGGGAGGAGGGATGAACAGGTGGAGTACAGGGGATTTTTAGGGCAGAGAAACTTCTGTATGATAGTGTAATGATGGATACTTAACAAAATTGTACAACAGAGTGAACCTTAAACTACAGGCTTTAATTAGTAATGTATCGATATTGTTTCGTTAATTGTAATAACTGTACTACACCAATACAAAATATTATTAGGGGGAAGTGTGTTCATGTTTCTGTGGAGTGTACAAGAACTCTGTCTTCTCAGTTTTTCTGTGAACCCAAGACTGCTCTAAAAAATAAAGTCTGTTAATTTAAGAAAAAGCCACTTAAGACAATAAAAAATATGGGTAGTACTTAGTTATGTATGCATGTGTGTGGGCGTCTTCCCATCAAGCATTAAATGGGGCCAAAAAGAACACAGCAAAACTGCTACCATTTGGATTCAAAGGCAAACAAGATAATCACAGTCCTGCACCTTCCAGAGGTGGAAAAACTCCTAAGTTCCTGGATAGTTTGAATTTTTATAATGAAAGTAAAATTGACAAAAATGTTTCCACTTTTTGAAATTTGGGGTTTAGGTATCAACATAAACATTCAAACCTGTAGGGAATTTTTGTCGGTTTATTTGAGCCAAACTGTCGGCAATTGCCGAAAAACAAAAAAACTCAATGGCTTGAGAGAATGCCAATTTTGCAGCTAATTTTATACATTACAATAAAAAGAGAAGATGTACATGGGTTACATGAGCTCCATTGGTGATAGATTAGGGAGGCAAGAGAAGGCAAAGCGGGGAAACCTCTGCGACTGGACAAAAAAATGATAGAAACATATTTTTACATAGGTGGGTGCAGGATAGTTAACAGTCAACAGTTAACTCAGTAACAGCGAGGGAATTTGTGGTCTTTGCTCTGTTGCAGTGCCTGTGCTTTGATGGGTCCGGAAAATTGCTTTGACATGCCAAACGAACGTTTATCACAGATGCAAAAAGACGACAGGCTTAAATAAGGTGAAAATTGACCTTTGCTGGGGAAGATTCTAGCCTAGGGCATGACTATCCACCATAAACTGCTTTTACGTAAATAAAAAGCTTTAATCTCAGACCATCCTTTGTGGTTTAGCTGAATTGAGTTTAAGGCCACCATGCAGCAGGCCTTCCCTGAGCTTGTCAGGTTTAGTATGTGGGCCCTTTTCCTCCATACTGGGAAGAAAGGAAGGGGGTACACTTTTTTATTGAATGATTTTAGAGCGAGAGGAAGGGAGAAAACATTGATGCGAGAGAGACATCCTTCGGCGCCCGCGGCACGCCCCCCGGGGAGGGCCCAGGAGCCAGGCACGTGCCCTGTCGGGGGCGCCGAACCCACGTCGGGTTAGAGCGGAGGGCGCTCAACCAGCTGGGCCACGCGGGCGGGGCGCCTCTCCCAACGGGCATCCAGAGGGGCTCCTGCTCCGGTCGCCGTGGGTGCCCACAGGCTACCCCCGCATCGCGCGCGGAGGGGGCGGGGCTGCGGGCCCAGGCTCCTCCCATCCCTCGGGCTTGGGGGGCCGGCGGGGTGGCGCAGAGCCCCCTCTCCCACCCCCACGAAGGGCCTCCCG